CACTGATTACTAGTTGTGGTGGTAGTTTACAGAATGGTTGTTCTATGGTTGGTGGTGTGTGACAGGTTGTACACTGGTTACTAGTTGTGGAGGTAGTTTACTGAATGGTTATTCTATGGTTGGTCATGTGTGACAGGTTGCGCACTGATTACTAGTTGTGGTGGTGGTTTACAGAATGGTTATTCTATGGTTGGTGGTGTGTGACAGGTTGTACACTGATTACTAGTTGTGGTGGTGGTTTATTTTCTGCTGGTCGTATGTAACAGGTTTATAAAAATCTTACACTAGAATGACTGGCAAGACAGCATTCATAATTGATCTTTTATCATATTTAACTTCAAGGTATCTCATCGTGACGAAGCCATTCAAAGACTGCAAGCCCAGCAAAAGGAATGCATGAACGAGGTACTAGCAGAAGCATCTTTGGAAAAATTGACTATTTAAGAAAGAAAGTTAAGGGCGCCTAAGATTTGCCGGGTTGGATGATTCACACAGTGTATGCTTACCAATTGAGTGAGGTTTTGTACACTAACAGACAGGGCTTGTAAACTACATGCAAAGCCACTTGTCAAGTTTACTATGTTTAACGAAGTACGAAATAAATGCAAAGTTTTGAAAAGCATGTAAAGTTAGAACGACTTTCCTTCGTCCCTTGGTTGTGAGGAGTGAAAAATTTGAACTCTTTTCAAAATGATAGTCAGAAAAATTTCTTTATTTTTACTATACGCTAGAAGTAGTTGTGTTGATAGGTTGCCAAGTGATGTAGGTTGAGAGTAAATGGTTTGAACCCCGGTGTTGAAGTTTGTTGTGAAGTGTGATCGTCCGGGTGAGTGTAATCTTGAGAAAGACTGTTTTTGGTAGTGACTGACGTTTCGACAACCTGAGCTGTCGTCGTCTTCAGAGTCCAGTGAAGAAACACTGCTTTCTGATATTTTTCAGGTATCACGAAGAGAGAAAACAATCCAGAAGCTAGAACTAGAACTACTGAACGCTCAAGAAAGCCATCGCCGTGCGCAGGATGATGTAAGGAAATCACCTAGACTCGTTTAGTCTTATGACAGAGAGATATTGTAAAAACAATTGTAAAGAGTAGCTTTTAATATATAATTTATTTTCTTGAATAACGAAGTTTGAAATTACACAATCTCAATAAGAATATAAGAATGATATAGAAACGAATGTATCGTGTAAGTAGGACAATCGGAAAATGTAGTTATTTTTTATAAGAATAATGGTGAAAAGATGAAACTATTCTAAATAACAAAAAGTCCTATTTCAACCTGAATATTTCCAGTTGCTTTGATATCAGAAAAAACGAACAAAATGTATAATAAAATATAGAGAAACGAGAATTTTTTTGGTCATCATTTTCAGGAATGGCTTCGAAATCAAATTTTAGTTACCTACAGTTTTGTATACTGACAATTCCTAACAAACTAGTTAGACAGGTTTGACAGGTAATTAGTATTGTAGATGCAGGTCAAGATGAAAGGCAGGCAGGCAGGTAGTGACGTCATAGGTAGGTTTTGTGAATATTGTTTAGTCACCATAGCAACCAAGTCCTCATTCTGTGTTGTCTTGTTATTGACACAGGTAGCTCGTCGAGATGATATTATCAGACAGCACGAGAATGACCTTCAGAATCTGCGCAAGCTGCACAACGAAGCTGTAGAGGAGGTTGGTGAATAAATAAGAGTGGAATGGAGAGCTTAGTTTTTTAACTTCTACATAACACAGACAGAAATGGCGTTGCCATGATGTTAGAGACTTGTGATACATTTGAACCAATAAGCCTTTTCACAGTTTAAGAATCGATTCCACTGCGCATGCGATTTTATCCCGAATTTCTACCTTCTTTTGTCTAAACCTTCTTTTGTTCTTAATTAAACAAAAGAAGTTGAGAAATTCGGGATAAAATCGCATGCGTAAGTGGAATCGATTCTTAAACTATGAAAAGGCTTATTGAGAGGATATTTCAAGAAATCAAATGGTTCTTGGTGCAATGTTTTCTCAATATGCCTGGTTCACATGAGCAACACAATTGCAAATGCAAGTGCAACAGTGTACACACGTGAAGCGCAAGCAAATTAAGATACGTAAGCGCAGTAAGGTACTAGCTTCTTTACACAATGTACTCTAGTTGTTTTAACCTGATATTTTGGTCTTTTTCCCCAGAATGGTAAACTTCAAGCCAAGATACAGGCCTACAAAATATCGACCCAAAGTGAACACGATGTACTCGCTGATGAGGTGAGAAACACCAAGATACCCTTTTGTGTAATTTGTTGAAACGCCCTCAGATATTTTCATGTAGGCACGCAGCCCCTCTCCAGCATGATTACACCACGTATATAGATTTGCTCTCCAACTTGCAGCCTTTTTTGTCGTGTGATTATACAAAGACAGTGGAGGGTCTTAGTTTGGGAAATATAGTACTTTGCAGAAGACTAATATAAGAGTGGGGATGAAACTTTAAAAAATGTATTTGATATTTTCAAAAAGTGGCCTGTTCCTCTTTAGAGACAGGTGCAATTATCGTTCAGCGAAATATCACGGTATATAGACACGCACAACGCCTTTTCTTTTTTGTGTGTGGTTATACCATTGATAGTTTAGAGACTTTCGCAATCATTGTCCAGTTTAATATCACAGTATACTTGCGACTGTTGGCCTACACGATAAGAGCACAGCAAATAGACCACACATTTCCAACGTTGTAGCATTGTCATTGAAGCGCGCATATTCTCCAGCTTGATTATGTCACAGATTGGCATACATGGTGAAATGCGAGCGCAGTATATAATATAGAAACGCATCTTTGCAATGAGTAAAGTAACAATCTGCCTCTGTATTTCATGGACGTTTATTTTTTAGGTATCCCAGCGAGAAGAGGCCATCCACAAACTGAAAATCGAAAAGCTCACTCTACAGGAACAACAAGAAAAAGCAGAGGAAAATGTTAGTATTAACAAGCTTATTGGACTTGCAATTTCATAGCTTTAACTAACATTTGGTTAATTTGCTGTCTAGATTCGAGAGCAGGAAAGAGCTATTGATAGACTGCGGCAACAGTATGAAGACTGCCTTCAAGATGTATGTAGTAGACAATAAATTAGATAGATAGAGTGATAAGCTTTTTTCCCTCTTGGTTTACAATGACACTGATTAGGAGTCTAGCAAAATGCTTACTAATATGTTTTTAAAACAGATGTTCTGTAGTCGTTTGAGGGACAAAATTTAAATTCCACTGGTAAAATTACTGCAACGCTGATTGGTTCGCTATCGTTTGAGTCGGAAACACGGGTATTCATTACCCATTAATGTTCTTAATATTAAATATAATCTTTAATATTTCTCAGGTTCAAACTCGAAATAATACCGTGGTTGAGATGGAGAATAAACTCGGTGAAATGAAGAGTAAAACAGATGAATACACTGGACAAGTATGACATTAGATTAACAACAACAACAAGAACGTTTTATTGTACCTAGAATTATTACATGCATATTTACAAAGAAAATTTAAATAACTATAAGTAGAGGCCCTAGTTAATAACTAGAAAGTTAAAAATGCGCTAGGACCATCCCTCCCTTATTCCTCCTATCCCATAATTGCATCTTCCCTTATTCTATTTTTCATTGACAGCTTGAACAATGTGAGGATACAATCAGAGAGATGAACCTCAAGATTCATTCCCTTGAGAGTCAGTTGGACCAGAAGGACCACGAGGTAAGGCGTTCAACTGTTTTTAAAACATAATGGATCAAATCCACTTGGGCGTATATGTTTTCTCATTCCAGACCACGCGTCATTCTCTTGAGAATCAGATTCTTTGTTTGAGTTGCATCCACATTCTTGTGCCTTTTCATCCACAACTGTTAAACAAAGAAATGACATTCAAGGGAATGACACGTGGTCTGAAATGGGAAAACATTACGCCAAGATTTGGTCCATTGGATTAGTAGGTCAGGTTTAGTGGGATAAAGGCGGGTGTTTTTGGAAATAGCGCTATAGAAGTAAATAATAATTATTATAAATATAATTATTATAAGTGAGGAAAAAAGCAAGCGGCAAAGTCACGAGCGATCGTCGAGCGGACGTCCAGATCGTGTGTTCCTGGTTGGTCTGCCTGTGCTTTATTCACCACGCTTGGACTTTGCGAAAGTCTACAGGTGTTGCCTTTGTGTCTGCACCCCGGCATTTTGGACTACCGTGGATCAAGAGCAATCGCTTTGATTATTGAATGTTTAGTGGTGTCTGGCGTGACATCTTTTACGAGGGCTTTAAGTAAGTCAATGTAAGCCATTGTTGATATCGATAAATATTGGTTATTGTTGATAGACTGCCATGAAGGAAGATACCATTGGGCAACTGACTTCAGAGATGGAAGAGTTACAAGACCAACACAGTGACGTCTTAGATAAGGTAGGTAAAACAGATGACCATCTCTCGGTGCTGTGTTTAGTTTTCAGCTGATTTGATGGAAGGAAGGGCTTCTGGAACATCATTTGGCACTGGAAATGGGCGTTAGCATAAGACCTATTTCTGGTTTCTGTTAAATATTCTCTTCATTTTGGTTGTTATTGATTCCCAGGTGCGAAAGCGAGAGGATATGATAGATCGCCTGAAAACAGAATCTTCGTTTTTGAAGGACCAACAACGAGAAAAGGAAAAAGAGGTAAGATACCATTGCCGCCATCTTGGGAATCAAAGGTGGTGTAGCGGTAATTCAGTAGTACACTCGCCTCTCACTTCTGGGGTCTCAAGTTTATCTCAGGGTTAATTATGTGATCCTACATCACATGTGAGTTGAGATTCTTTGGTCTCTACCTTGATTCGAGGGTTTTCCTCCCTCATACATATAAGTCTAAGCAGCTAATTTCTATTTCGATCTGTTAGTTAGCCGTGCACAAACCTAAGTTGAGGTTTGTCAAGAGATTGTTTCAGGGTATAGATAAAAATAAGACTGCCTTTTTTTTTACTTGAGTAGCAACAACAGAAGTATGAACAATATTCGATTAACGCAATCATCACAACGACATGCAACAACAACAAAATCATCAACATCAACACCCGCCACTTCATATCCAACAGCAGCAGTTGTAAGTGGTTATTGTATGAGTGGGAAACATACAGTACTGACTAACATCACTTAAATGCTACGATATGCCGTAACATTGAAATGGCTTCCCATTATCTTCCAGTAAGGTTTCCAAACACAACGCGTAATTGCGGTTAGATAAAGTACTGCTACGCTACGACTATGATTGCCGTTTTTTTCCCGTCCCACTCATACGAAAGCCGCTCTGCTTTCTTTCCCGATAGTGATCTTTTTGTTTCTTGTCCAATTTCTCACGTCTTTGCGAATCATAACGTCTAACGAATCATCAATCTCAATTCCAGATATCCCAGCAGCTGGATGTGGTTCACAAACTCGAGCGGGACTTGAGTCAAACGACACTTAAATACGAGGAAGTCAAGAAACTCGCCGAAGAAGACGTGAGTGAAACCGCTGACAACGTAACGGACGAGAACGCAAACATCAAGACGGAGTCTTGAATCGTCTGTTTTATCTTTTTTTGTATTCTATTTATAGTTTTTATATCAGACATAGTATTAACATTTAACTTCTTACGTTTACGTAAGACTTCACTGACATATCCGTTTCCTTAGAAACAGGAGCCACGTGACTATCTTTCACCCATACGTTGAATTCTTGTGTCTATTTTTAACGAATTATTGGTTATGAGACACACAGGAAGCCCAAATGTATGGGTGGTGAACGATTCGAAATTTAGTGTTTTATATTTGAAGCCTTTACTGATTTGGACTCGACTCATTTGATGGACGTGACACACTACAAAACACTTTTTACAAAACACGCAGCAAAAGCGACATTGACTACATGTACGACTTTCCAATAGCAGTGATGACTACAGAATGCGAGAGCGTCAGTGGCATTAATGATTATATCAGCGATATTTATGACATCCACTTGATAAACGGTACAACCACTTTAACAACGATAGTAATAAACGCTTTTACGGCAACCGCGACAAAGAAGATAAAACTATAACAACAATACAACATCTCTAGCAGCAAAAATAACGGCTACGACAACCGCAAACAACAAAAACTGCAGTAATAACAACAATAGAAAAATAAAATAAAAATTATAACTTCAGCACCTACAATAACAGTACAGACACTTGAACCACAACAACAGTACATCAACCACTTACACAACACATAGTTAATAGAGGGGAATGGTTAGGAAACCTATTGTTATATGTCTTTGTTCACTTTTTTCAAGCGTGACAGTGCACAATCCTTTGTTTTACCATTGTTTTACCATCGTTGGCAATGGCTGAGCGAACAGATCAAAATCTTTCTTTTGGCTTCTAGTTAAAAATACTTAAAGATTTATAAGAGATATTTGAATATTCCTTACACCAATCCCGTACACAAAGTTTATGTTTACTTATTTTGCAATTTCGGATGAACATAAATCAAAATTGTGCACCGTCAAGACCGGTTCAACATCAAAAGCGAACAAAGACCTGATAACAATAGGTTTCCTAACCATTCTCCTCTATTAACTATGAACACATAGTTAACTACGCACAACAACAGAAACGAACTACAGGAAGCAACATCACTTCACAAATCACCCATGATAATTGACAACATGAACAGCAAGGATAACAACATCATAGTATGATAACACCATCGTTGTTTTCATAATTTATTATCATGATCGTGATCACCATCATCATGATTATCATCGTCATCACCACCGTAGTATAATAACACCGTCGTTGTTTTCATAATTTATTATCATGATCGTGATCATCATCATCATAATTATCATCGTCATCACCATCGTGGTATAATAACACCGTCGTTGTTTTCATAATTTATTATGATCGTGATCACCATCACCATCAT